ATTTGTTTACCAATGGATTATTCCGTTGGTAAAACTCATATTTCTTGTAGTGCAAGGAGCAGGAGGAGAAGGCCGACACGTGGCACCGCCTCGAGAGGACCACCGGCAGGTTCCTCCGCCGGTTCAGGCTGCCGGAGAACGCCAGGATGGACCAGGTGAGGGCCACCATGGAGAACGGCGTGCTTACCGTTGTGGTTCCCAAGGAGGAGGAGGCGAAGAAGCCCGAGGTTAAAGCCATCGACATCTCGGGCTGACGGGTCGGGCCTAGGTGGCTCGTTTGTATGTATAATTGTACATGTTTGTATGTATGTAAATGGATGAATAAGGATTAGAGTGTGAGGGGTGAATAAATGTATAGACATCGTACAAATTGGTGATTGTATATAAGAAATAATTTTGTATAAATTTTAGTTTAAATTATATTTTATTGTAAATGGCCGCGCATTAGTTCTTTTTTCTTTGTAGATAAGTTTATTAAAACTTGATAAATCGAAAAATGATATTGCGGTGAATAAGAAATTAATTTTAAGTTAGAAATATAGAAATTGTTGAGCTTTTTACTTTTTAGCTCAAATTTAAGTGTAAAATGTTAATTAAGTTAGAAATATAGAAATTGTTGAGTGTTTTTAGCTCAAAATTAAGTGTAAGTAGCTCAAAATTAGTTTGAGATATAGAGGACTAACAAGAGAAGAGACGAGAGCTAAAACACACAACATCAAGCACCAGGATGCTCTGGAAAATTTCTCCTTACGAGAGTGTATTTCATATATCCAGACTTTGTTTATTTATTTGAATACCTTAGTTTCTGTTTGAGTTTTGGTTATTGTAGGGCTTGTTAATATTCCTTGTGGGGGTATTTTTGCAGCATTTATCGTAATATCTCAACAAGTGTTATCACTGACAATGCTGTGACCGAGGCTTGTTTATTGGAGAAAGTAATGCATTCAAGTTCGAGGTGAGTAAGGAGACCAATGACGTATCATATTCTTCATTCAGTCTAGGAAGGATGTTGATGCAGAACCTCGGCTCTCGTTGGAGATCTTCGATGAGACTGGTCATTTCTGCATCTGGCAAAACGATGTGTTGGATTGTCACTTTTAACAAGTTGACATTGCCATTTAAGAACAGAAACTAGATGACGTTGACGAGAAGAACTGGAAGAATATTAGTCGCTTACCATGTGGAACAATTCGTTGGTGTTTCTCCACGGAGCAGGATTAAGCGTTGAAGAATGAAAATTCTACTCACACCCCGTAGAGAACTTTGGAGGAAAAAATTATGAAGAAGAGCGGTCATAATACGCTCCATGTGGAGAAGTGATTGTTCCAATTTAAATACCAACATGACCATTGATGAACGATAACGTCACTGCATTTAATCAGTTGGTTATAAATTTGTTGAATTCTAACGTCACATTTAGCTATGAAGATATAACAATGTGGTTATCATATCTTCTCAATGTATTCAGGCATCACTCTACTTTCATAAAAAAAAAGTATATAATTTTTTTTTTTTTTTGGTGATCAATTTTACTCTATATAGCTTGAGTTTAGGAAGAAAAATAAACAATAAACAATGAATACAACAGCAGAAGACACGACATTGGTTGCAAGAGGTCCGTCGAATGGCTAAAAGTAGGGTAATTCGATATTTTATCTCCTAAGGATATTTTAGATATTTATATAAATTTAAACAAAGAGCTCTGGTGAAATGCACAATTTCCAGTTTTTACAAGGCTACTCAAATTAAAGGACCCAAATGAGTCTCAAATGAAAAAAAAATAAAAAAATAAAAAAAAATCATGTTTTAATAGTGTGTTAAGTAGTGTTTTGTCGAGTACGATCGTAAAGACTAATGTCGGGTCGTCTTTTAGAGAAGGTTGTTTGGATTTAAGCAATGATTGATACACAAATACAAAAAATATAAGTTTTAGACAATCTATTCGCAAGTTGGTAGTTGATTTATTGAAAAGTTACGATACAGTAATTGTTTTACATATAAGCCCATTTTTTCTTTTTTATTTAATTTTTATTTTGTTTAGCTATCTTATAGTCTTTGACTATTGTGTTTATTAATGCATGTTTGTGTTTATTAATACATGTCTATTGTACAATAATAAGAGATTATAAGATAACTAAAACATCTAAATTAAACAATTGTGTCAATGTGTGACGAGAATGATCCTTGGACCCGGAGATAACTTTGGAGTTCATGGTGCGCTAGTTCGGGCTATTCGATGCTTGATCTATAGGGATTGGCGCATTAGGATCCAATATGTGCATAGGGAGACCAACTTTGCAATTGACCATATAGCAGCTCTGGCAGCATCCGCCTCGTTAAACGTGCAACAGATTTATTCTCCTCTCTCAAGATTGGGCCTTTGGCTCGATCACGATATTATTGAGGTGTCCCACCCTAGACGAGTCCTAATCTAGCTATCTCTCGGGCCTCTGGCCCATCATTTGTACCGGAAAAAAAAAAA